GTGGAAGTCATTCAGGTGGGAAGGCTGCTTTTGCAACACCTTGGGCGTGTCCCCTGTTCTGAGGCCAAAGGGCCATGAATGACTGCAGGTGTGTGCCAGCCCCTAGGACAGGTGTCAGATTACAAGACACATAATCATTCCAGTTTGGCCACTTCATGATGTTGTTTTAATCAACTGGCCCCACAGTCCCCAGATCACTCCTGGAATACAGCGGTGGAGGCGACCAGGGCGCTAAGCGGAGAGGGATGCCAGACATGCGGGACCAAGGCCTGCCCTGCACTTAGGTCTCTGCCGGCCCGCGTTGCCCAGGGGCCTCTGACCTGCTGGCCAGCCACGGCCCGATCCAAGGAGGCCCACCTTCTGACGGGCCGCCGACCTCAGCTCCAGCCCGTAGAGAAATCCAGAAGATCGCAGAGCCAGCATGGTGAGTGTGGGGGCCTTCTGGCTCTGAGTTCTGGGGGAGGGCAGGTCTCCCCATAAAGGGCCCTGCCAGTAGCCTGAGAATTTTGTAACACCTTCCCAGTTAAAAAAGAGGTCACACCGCATCACCCCCACATTCCGGCTCTTACAAGCCTCAGTGCTCCCCTGCCCTCCTCTACCCCCCTTGGCCAACAGCCCCTGCACCAGGTCCAAGGAAGCTGGGACACAGAGGCCAGGCCTCCCCTCTCTGACTATCGCCCTCCTAAATCCTGCCTGTTCTTTCGTCCAGTCTCCTGGTCTGCTGGCTGGAGACTGGCACTGTTTTGCCAAGGGCGAGGGGCTGTTACGACGGCCCTCTGCCACCTCCCTGGGAAACTGACTCCTTTTCTTCTTAAAGCAAACAATGGACAGCTGCCTCAAAACAGTCCAAGGTGTCTGTGGAGACCGGCTGGTCTCTTTCTGGGCCCTGCCCTCTCTCCTCCTCCTCTGAACACCTAGAGCTTCTTTCGCTGTCTCGGGACAAAGAGACTCAATCCCATCTTTCGAGGACAACTGAGGCCAGGGAGGGGAAGAAATAATAGCTGGGTCTGAGGTGGAACTCGGGGAATCCTCCTTCTCTGATTCCTGGTGAAGGTGCTGCAGCTGCCGGAAACCCAACACAACAATGAAGGGGAGGGAAGGGGAAGGAAGGGGAAGCTTCCATCCAAGGGGAACAGAGGTGACGGGCTGAGGCCCCACATGTGGCGGTCTCCTGACTCCCAGCCCGAGCTCTTCCCATGACGCTCCTCTGAAAAGTCTGGTAAAACTCTAGCCCCGGTGCTGGTGCAGCTGAGGGTCAGGAAGGGGAAGGGCTTGCCTGCTCTACTCTGTAATTCAGCCAGGACCGAAGCGCCAGCTTCCCCCAGCCCCATCCAAGGAAGCATGTAGAAGCCGAGCCTGTGTGCAGAAAAGCTCCATCCTGCTGGGCTCTCGAGAGAGAAGAGAAAGCAGTGCCTGCCTGCCTGCCCCACTGTGAGCTGCTTGTTGGTGGCACTGAGGAGGCCTGGGTGTCTCCTGAGGGGGTGATGTAGGACGAGGTAGTTTCTAAGGCAGTTAACTGGAGCACAAACACGGTTGGCAGAAAGAATGGGCTAAGAACGTGAATAGCTGTGTGAACCGTGAAGCCCCATACAGAATTAAGGACGTGGGACTCAAGAGGAATCCAGTCCAGGAAATGACATGTGGGTGGCAAGGCCAACATGGAGCTTCACCAGCCAGGGAAGGAGGCAGGGCAGGTGGGCACACTGTGCTGGGGGGCCAGGGCTGAGGCCCCAAAGGCAAGGCAGCAGCGTGGCCAGGATCCCGGGTAGGACCAGGGAGCTTCTGGCCCCTGAGCTAGCCATTAAACCAGCTGTGCCTAATAACCCAGTCATTCCCTCTAATGAGGCTGGGACAACCACAGCTCCCAGCCCTGGGGAGCAGTGAAACAACTCATGCCCAGGCCCAGCCCTCCCTTCCCCTGCCCCTCCCTGCCTCCTCTCACCCCTGCCGGCCCCCGCCCTGGACAGACTCCAGTTCTGCGTGGTTGCTACCTCATAGCAGTGCTTCTCCCTTGAGAACTGGGCAGGACTGGGTGGGCCCAGTGAGAGCAGGAGCTGAGGAAGGCCCTGGGCAGAGGTCTGAGCCCGAGCTCTGTCCCCAAGGGCAATGTGTCCCTCGTTATCTCGGCTGCAGCTGAGCCCTGGAGGGAAGCCTGGTCTTGACTCCTTACTGCGCACGAGGCCCCAAACATACCAGGAGCCACCAGAGCAGCGTGTTCAACACCTGAGGTCGGTCCTGGCCCAGCTGCTCCAGAGGAAGCAGGCCCTCCTTACCCTCCCCGCCTCTCCTTGCCAACTGGTTCAGCCCACAGGGTTTGCTAGGCTTGGCTGGGGCTCAGGAACGTGGCAGGTCACCAGGCCCGCCTGGGTCTGGGAGCACAGACAGGCCCACCTCAGACAGGCTGAGTCGGCAGCCCACTGGGCTCTGGAAAGACCCCGAGGGCAAGATGGGCAAGGAAGGGCTAGGCCCCTGCCTGCTCCCACAGTCCCCTCACTACCTGGGTGGGGGGCTTGATGCTGTGACCTGCAAAGTAGCTCCGTCCACCTAACCACTGAATCAGCCCCTGTAACTGGCCAGCCTCCAGATGACAGGAAGCGGGGCTAAAGGGTGCAATGCCTACATCTGCCCTGCAGCTTCCCAAAATCCAGAGGAAGGACAGCTCCTTAAGCAAAGGACAGTGAGAGAATGTGGCAAGTCCAATACCAGGGTGACTGCAAGGTACTCCTAGAGCAGAGAAGGCAGGGAATTCTCTCGAGGGTGGTCAGGAAGCTGTCTCAGAAGAGCATTTGCACTGGACCTTGAAGGATGAGCAGGCTCTCCCTGGACAGAGACAGCAGGAAGGGTATTCCAGGCAGAGGGAGCGGCATGTGAACAGTAAGAGTGACATTTTGCGGGGGGGAGGCGCTGTGGCTGGAGCGACAGGCACAGGTGGCAGAGCGGAACACAGCTGAGGGCTGGATCCCCCAGGGAGGTCATCCAGCCCCTGACACGGAGCTTGGGTTCAGGGTCCCCGCTGAGCCACGAGCTCAGTGGGGCCGGGAGAGGGAAGGTGCCCCAGCGGCTGCCGGGGAGGCTCACACTCCTGGCCAAGCCACGTCCGAAAGGGCAGCAGGCATCCAGCTGCATTCGTTCATTCCACAAAATGGGCGGCGGGCCTCCTCTGTGCTGGCTCTAGCCTTGCTGGGAAGGGAAAGCAGACTGGGTCCTGCCATCCCAGAGCTCAGAGTGCAGAGGGGGTGGAGCGCAGGAAGGGACAGTCACACAAACTCACAGTTAGCTAACAACAGACACACGTGGTGTGCTGACGGGCCGGGAACTGAGAGAGCTCAGGCAGGGACATGGGTCAGGGGTCAGGGGAGCCTGGGCCACACAGGAGTGCGGAGGGTGGGGAGAAGGGGCCATTCAGGCAGAGCCAACAGCAGGTACAAAAGCCCTGCTTCTCCCAGCCCCCTTCCATCTCCCAGGGCTCTTCCCCTGCAGCCTTTGGGTAGAGTTCTGTCCTGGCTCCTGACAGGGGGAAGTGTCTAGAACTCAGGTCTCCTCCGCACCCCTGGCCTCTCTCCCTCCAGCTTTCCTTGTGCGCAGCTGCGAAGGCCAGCAGTCACGGGCAACAACCACCCTGCACTCCCTAGCCTGGTTCTCTGGCACAGCCTAAGAGGATCTGAGGAGCTGATCTCAAGGGGGGTGGGAGGGGAAGGGCTGTAGGAAGAGGGAAGATGGGGAAAGAGACGAAAAACAGGACTCAGGAACTCTGAACAAACTTTCCAACCTGGGGAGGCAGGAGACAGACGCTCTCAGGCCTGAGAATCTGCATTTCAGAGTTCCCAGCAGCTTCCACAGCCTTCCCTCTTGCTCGGATGAAAACATCTACTCAGTAAAGCCCCTCAAATTCCCATGCAGTGATTCCCCAGGACAGTGAACCCCCCATAACCTAAAATGCGTTCATCTGTTCAAACCTGTTGCCACCAGATGGCGAGCTCCTTGAGGGCCGGGTCTTTTCCACCTGTTGGCCCCAAACCTAACACAGGACCTGGCACACAGCAAGCAGAGGGTAAATGTTTGTGAGTGAATGACAACTAAATGACGAAAGATTGAATTCCCATAACCAGCCGATTTACCAGACACTGATAAAAAAGTTAGCTAAGTCTGACTGCAAAAGATGCCAGATTCTAGCAGAGGTGTTACCAAGGTGGGGTGAGGGAGGGACACGCCCCAGCCTGCCTGGAAACCCCAGGGAGTGGAGAGAAAGTCTGAGCAGAACCGATGTGGCAATCCCCCTGTGACGTGCTTCCCTCCACCTCCCAGCCTGCAGCTCTATCACAACTGCAGCAGAGAAATTTGTAAACAAGGCTCAAAACCACAACACCCTTCCCCTACCACTCCCTCCCAAAGCAGCTCCCAGTTCCCTGGCATAATCGACATGCAAGCAGAAACTCTCACAGGGTAGCGGGCGAATGGAATGCTTGAGGGAGAGCGTGAGAGACAGGAGGCACCTGGTCCAGTGTGACGGCAGTCTCCCATCACATGTCCTGCACATGGGTCTGACCGAGCCCACCATAGCTTCAGGCATTTCCTGTGGTCTCAATTTCTTCTCTATAATATGCATTCACTCATTCTTTCAGCATGTGTTCCCTAAGCATAAACTACATGCCGGGCATTGGCAAGACGCCTTAAGATTCAGAGAAGAACACGCACAATCAAAGTTCTCAGTTCCGTATACTCCACAGACAGAACAGAGGCAGGGTAAAGTGCTTCCCCCACCCTGGCCAGAGCAGGCCACTTGTTCACCCACGGATGTCGACACAAAGAGAGTAATGCAGCTGAGGTCACCCCTCCTCACCTCTGTCCCATTCCCACCCTGACACTGGGGCCTTCGTTCATTATCACATCTCTGATCACCAGGGAGGAGGGCACGGCCAGGCTGTCGGGAGCACCTCTCTTGGTGGGTAGGACTCCCTGGTGGTCTAAAGAGAAGAACAACAGAAACATCTCGTCCCTACCTGAATGCAGCAAGTGCAGCATTTTGCAGCTTGAGAAGCACAAATCTCCTTGAATCTTACATCAACTCTCGGAGACATCGTGCTCTCATTCTACAGATGAGGAAATCCCAAGGCTCAAGAGGTTGAGGACTTGAAAGGGTCACTCTGCCGATAAGAGTCACGGCAGGATCTCTAAGCTCTGGGACTTCAATATCAAGTGCCCAGAGTTTCCATTATGCCCTCCTCCTCCTTCAAGATGTGACTCCATAGACCTGGACTGGAGACTAGACCTTGAACTTGAACTTGCACTATTAACTGCAGAACCACCTCCCTACCTAGAAGTTGGTCTACTTTATAATATAAAGCGTGTGTTGAGTGAAGAATGTACCAGCTGACACGGCCCAAGTGGAGGAAAGATGATGCCCTTTCTGCCAGGAGACTTCATCCCTCACTACTCTACCAAAGGTCACAAGGAGGAAGTGAACACACAGACAAGGGAAACTAGTGGGCAGAATTAACTTAGACTTTTCTCAAGAAGACTAAGAGGAAGTTTCATACCCAGTGCTGCTTAGAAAAAAAACCCAAGTTGCCACGAAATCATTAAGGATAGAAAACTGATTTGGAGAGAGGAAATTATAACTAAATCAGGCCTAGGACTAGTCTCCTCTGTGGGAGGGGGCAACAGAAGCTCCAGGCTAACAACAAACAAGCTCTTCCAAGTCACAGGCCCTCAGGAAAGGACCTTAGAGGTCTCCTCAAAGTAGAGGTCGGTGTTTTCCCCCAAATCTGTTTCAGCCTCAGAGCCCAATGCCCACCAAAATCTAACATAGAACCCCCATGTGGAAAACAGCCTGGGACCCCCTCCCCATTCCTGCCCTGCCTCCCTGCTCTTGCAGCAACTTCAGTCTCCACCGAGTCCCCCGGCATGCCAGAGAGCCCTTCTCTGGCCTTGCCCTGGTCTACTGTGGACATCTACACCATCCAGCTTCTACTCACACCCCTTCTGTTGCTTAGATGACCTTCCCTTCACTGAGAGAGAGAGAGAGAGAAAGGTCTTTCTGTAATGTCCCCCACTGATCCTGAACATCCCCTTTGCCACTTCCTTGAGACGGCCCTACCCATTTTAAAGGACCATGTTTGTGCTCCCAAAGGTCTTTGCTTCTCTGGCCTGCAGCCTCCTCCCTGTGTTCATAGAGAGGTTGCAGAGGTCACGTGACATCATCTCAGAACCCCTCTCTGTCCAGTGCACTCCAGGGCCCAATTCCCTCCTGTGGGCAGCCCGCAGGCCCCAGGAAATCACAGCAATGGCATTTGTGCAGTGCCTGGTAGGGGTGTGTGAGGACCTCTGCCAGGCTCTTCCCACGGATAACGGAGGATTCTTGAGTGTGCACTAAGCCAAGCACTTACTAGGTTCTATAATAATAGTTACTAATTACTACTAAGAAATAGTAGCATATATGCTTCATGGGCACAAGGACTGTGCCTTTTTCATTCACTGCTGTATAACCAGCCCCAAGAACAGGGCTTCACCAAATGGATACAACAGTCTTATTATTGTTGTGGTGGTGGTTTTTATCATTGGCATTTAGTGCATTCTTACTGTATACCAGGCAATTGCTAGAGGCTATGCATATTCTGGTCTCATTAAGAAGCCTCAGAATCGATCTGTCTGTCACACACACACACACACACACACACACAGGAACTCGAGGCTCCCGGTGGTTGAACACCTGGCCTGAGGCCTGCGCTCCGTCCACAGCCTCCCCTAGCCAACCACAGCCCGGAGGGGAAGAACTGGCGCGGCCCCACGGAGTTCCCAAGTGGGCAGGAAAGCGGGCAAAGGGAGCTTCAGTGATGTGCCTGGCAAGCGTCAGAGCCACTGGGCAGGGCGGCGGCACTCCTACGGGACCCCGAGTCCGGAGTTCACGGGAGACCCGGGAGTCACTGCGGACACTCGTCAGGAGATGGCGGATCTTTGCTGCGGCAGCCGAGCCAGCCCCCCAGAGGCTGCTTCCCCGGGGGGGTCTGGAACAAGTGAGGACACTCAGTCCTGCCCTTGAACAGCACTGCCGCGCACACCCTCCTCGAACACCGTGTGCAGCTCTGCTCCCTGAGCCTGCAGGGTAACTGGAGCTGAAGGCGCGAATGTTCGAGTACTCAACTCCTCTATCTGCCGAGCACCAGTCAGGTGCGCCGCCTGCGTCATCTAGATCATCCGCACCCACAACCCCAGGAGGCGGATCACACTCAACCCGTTTTACAGATGAGGAAACTAAGTCACTTGCCACCAGAAACACATAGCTCATAAGGGGCAGAGCTGGATTCAGGCCAGAGCTCCTGACACAGAGCTCAGCACAAACAGGGACAGGGGCAATCCTCGTCTGACCAGAGCAGCTGCGACCCCTCAAACGGCAAAGACCAACCAAGGGGACCATGAACAAGCCTGTAAAATCAGGAGAGGACCAGACGGGGTTCCCGTAGCCTTTAAAAGGCGCGGTGTCAGTGGCAGCTGGAGCCCTTCCCAGAACTTTTCGCACTCTCTGGTTTTATCCTGGACTTGTCACACCCGCTTCCAAAGGCAGAAACTGGGTCCCAGAGATGTTAAGCGATTTGCTCATGGTTGCTCAGCAGGTAAATTGTAGAGTTCAACTTCAGAACACCAGAGCCCCTCTTCCCTCCGCACCACCTCCCTCCTCAAAGTTTAAAGGACAATTCAGAGCAAGCAAAAGAGAGCATGAGGCAGGACAAACTCTGTAGGATTCTTTTATAAACATCAGACCACGCCTTGGGTGGCAGCTCTTTAGCTCAAGTAAACTGCAGTGTTTAGAGATCGCCTCCCCACCCCCAAGCTATAAGATCCATCAGCCCCTCCTAAAGGCAAACCCCTACAGGTCGCCGTCGGTCCGAGTGGCGGGACTCCCGATGGCTCTCTCGTGTCCCCTTCAGCCACTGCCCACACAACACCCTCCGCTGCGCAAAGGTGGGAGCATCTTCCCTTCCAACAGACCCTCCTGGGAGGGAGGGGGCTGCATCGACCCACCACCCTAGGGCAGAAAGAAAGCTGAGTGAAGTCGAACTACGGAAAGCTCAGGCTGCAGAGAACGGGCGGCTTCCTCCGGGCACCGAGAGAAGCACGTCTGCGGGATCTGTATGAGTTACAGTTAACTGCGGTGCCACCCGGAGGCAAGTTCAACTCAACCCCACGGCCATGTACTAATACCTCACGCCTGCCCTTCACGTGGTCTCGCCATGTGACCTGGGGCCAGAGAGCGTGGCGACTCCGTGCCTCGGTTTCCCCATTTGCGAAACAGGAACAGTTACACCGGCGCCCTCTCCCGTGGCCCTGCCTGGCTGGAGTGGAGAGGTGGGCCTAGACCCAAAGGTTGATCCTTAACGGAGGGCAGGGCAGCCGAACAGTAGGCTGGCAGCGGGACAACGGCAGACCCCCTGACACCTCCCGGCCGCCCCAGGCCCTGCCCTGGAGCCACTGCGTGCAGCGATGGGGGTCAAGGTGCTCCGCTCAAACTGCCACCAGGTCAGCGCCTACGTGGCTCAGAACAAGGCCCGGTGGTTTCTAATGCAGCAGTCGAGGCGGAGGTCAGTCCTGAAGGAAAACGTGCTGCTGTGTGGCCACCTCGCATAAAGCAGAGCAGGGCGAACGTTCGCTGAGACCCCAGCATGTGAGAGCTGGGGCACCCACCGGTGAGCGGCCCGGACCTGTCTGGAGACAGGCTAATCGTTCAGAGCATCCTTGCGAGCCAGCATGATTTGCCATCTCCCAGAACTTTCCATGCACTCAGGGCCACTGCATCACAGCCAGACCAATCTTGGGTGAACTCACACCTTGCCCTCTGCTGACTCACAACCACCAAATCCTCACGCCCCTCTCCTCACTTACCTGTCATGGCTGAAGCACCCAAGACAGACGGTACTTGCCCCAGCCTGGTAAAGGCATCAAACTGCCCTATCCCCCGCTGCAGGTGGAGAGCTCACAGCCGCCTGCTGTTGGGTCGGGGAGTGGAATGCAGGTTCAGGGTCAGAGAAGCGGGAGGCACCCTCAGAGCAGCCCTGAGCACCTGAGCCAGCCAGTGGCCGAGCCCTGCTCTGAGCTCCGACTAGGAGCAGCCTCCGGGTCTCCTGGCTCACCGGAGAACTTTCCCCACCCATTCCCCTGGGTTTCCCCCTGGCTGTGTCCCTGGCCTAGGCAACCTAGCTGCCACCTGCCAGAGCCACCAAGGACCGGTTTATCCCATCACCGAGCAACAGTAGCATCTCTGCCTCTAAGTTTTCCCTGAGGGACCACGGGAAGCCCCCAGAGGAGCCTGAAACTGCCGCACACCAGAGCAGAGCCAGAAAGCCCCCTTACTGAGAGCCCCTGCTTTTCTCCCTTCCTCTGCACCCCAATCATCCGAGCTCTGCCCCTACTGACTTCTTTCCAGAACAAGGAAGCTCAGAGTCAGCAATGCAGAGAGGAAAAGAAAAATAAGGCCCAGGGGCAGGCTGCGTGGCAAGAAAAGCAGACAAAAGAGCTGGCAAGGCCTTCTGTTCCATTGGCCTCTTTGCCTGGTGGAGCACCTCCTGTTTCAGTGTGGGGTTATTAACTCTCTTATCTGCTTTACCATCTCTGAAAGAGAGTTTCTAATTACCCTAGGGACCTTGAAGTTCAGAGAGGTTGAGGTGTGGGCCCAAAGGCACCCCGCAAGTCAAAAGACAAGGCAATGTGAGAACTTACACTCCCCAGGATGGTTCTTTGTGTCTTCTCTGCAGCACGCTTGATCTTCATCCTCATTTAAAAAGAAGAGCGCCTGGTGCCTGGGTTCATCACCTGAGCTAGGAGCTGTGCTAAACCCAACGGGATTCTCCAAAATCTGAAACACCAGAGACTGAGGGTAAATGAAGGAGGAGAAGAGATGAGAAACGTGCAGACCTAATGGAAGAGGGAGGACGAAGGGATGCTAATAACAATGAAGCCCCTGCTAGGCCTAGCACTGCCCTAGGCCCTTCCCCAGACAGACTCTGGGAGGGAGGAGAGCTTACCCTTGCTGATGGAAGACTTGGCAGAGCCAGGAACCAAGCAGAGATGGGTGTGCCTGGGGAGCTGGGGAGGGCTGGGGAGATGCTGGGGGTAATCCCTGCATATCGATGGGGACAGGCGAGGAGGGGATGAAAACAATAGTCCACAGAGCCCAAAACCCCGGCCCCCCAAGAGCTGGATCTGCTCCTGACTTGCTCTGAGGCCACTTAATCTACAGGAGGCTTGGTCTTCTCTTCTGGAAAATGGGGATAATTTCTCAGGGTGGTTCTGAAGATTAAATGGGACAGCATTTATGCAAGATATGGTAAGCTCTGTACTAACCCCCAAATGCAGTAGTTAATTGTTCTGCCTCTACACATGGTCTCGGATTAATGTCTTTCTGTGACCAGCGACTTTGACTGAAAAGCAGGGAGAGATGATTCTCTGAGCGAATCAGGCAATCAACAGGTGATTGTCAGCCTTCTAACACCCACCTTCTAACTTCCTCTTCCACACCCCACCCCCACCTCTTCCAGCTGGGCCCTTCTGGGCTCTGGGGGCCCAGGCATTCCTGCCCTCCCACTGTAATCCAGGAGCTTCCTTCCCAGATGAACCCTTAGGTCAGACACTGGTTGGGCTGGGCCCGTGAGTCAGAGCCCCAGAGCAGACTGAATCAACACAGCAGACAGGCCTGACCCAGCCAGCAACCCAATAACACAGGAAAGGCTGGTGCCTTTGCGGGACCTGGGCTGGGCCTGGGCTGTGGCGGCTGGGGCCAAGGGCTGAGTTCAAGTTGGGGATAAACTGAGACACCTCCAACAAAGCAGAAGGCAGCACAGTAGGTGTTTCGTGGCCTCTCAAGCACCTTCCCTCCACCAACTCCAGGGCTAGACATTTCCCTGGTCTAGGGAACTAGGGAGTTGCCTGGAATGGTCCCCAGAGACCAATTCGGCTTTGCGTCCTGTGATCACAGCACAGACTCACCCAGCGACAGGGGGTGGCCAGGTTCCTGGATCTTACCTGGTAAGACTCTCACCTCATCTCTCAGCCCCATCTCTCCCCCACTTCCCAGCCCCGACTCAGGATGGATTCTGGGCCGAAAGGCAACACAGCTGCTGTGCATTTCCGTCTCCACCCTGCTCAGGAAGGTAATTGATGTTGATATTCCCCAGTCGCTGCTCATAAACCTCAATGTGCCCACCTCCCTGCCCATTACCCTGAAGGCTTGTGACCTTCTGCAGCTCCCCTTCCCAGAAGTTTGGCAACCCATCATCTCTAATCTCACTGTGTTGGAGATGTTTGTCAGAGAGGCTGCAAGAAAGCCAAGGAGCAGGCCACTGGATGGAAGAACTCTGGCAGCCTGAAAGAGTGGAGCACAGGAGGATGGGAGGATAGGAGCTTGACTCCTTGGACCCCTCAGCACAGCCGGGAGACTGCCTTTTTTCTTTTTTCCTCTTTGAACCTCAGGTGCGCAGCACCGGATGAATCGTAATCCTGGATCCATGACATTTCCACCACTGGCCCACAGGGGGCCGCCTTGTAACTCCAGCTAGTTAGATGGCTTTAACAATGTAGTAAGCCCCCATAATTCACCACCCCAGACAAACGCTGCATCTGACCAGGAGATCCCCTGCCCTCACACCTACATTCCCTCCCCCTGCCGAGGTAGCTGGGCAAGTCTCTTATGTTTAAGAATTCAACAGATACTGATTCTACGTCTTTGCCAGGCCAGGAAATGTGCTAGAAGCCCCCTGGAAAGTAAGCCTCAACCCAAACCCCATGTTTATCATTTCCTTGCTTCCTTATGAAAAAGATTCTGTGTTACATGTAATCTTTGGGGGATTTACTTTTTACCTTAATGTTAAATTACTAATGCCCCATCCATGTGATTCTGTGGTGCCGTGGTTCATTTGTTTTGACTGCAGCATAATATTCCAATGTGTGAATGTGCCAGAGTCAGCTTCTTCAAGGCTGACCAACCAAGATATTTTCCTTAATTCTTTCACTCAACAAATATTAAATACCCACTCTAGGGGCACCTGGGTGGCTCAGTTAGTTAAGCGTCTGACTTCAGCTCAGGTCATGATCTCAGGGTCCTGGGATCGAGCCCTGTGTCAGGCTCCCTGCTCGGCAGGGAATCTGCTTCTCCTTCTCCCTTCGCCCCTCCCCCCACTCATGCTCCTGCTCTCTCTCATGCTCTCTCTCAAATAAATCTTTTTAAAAATATATAAATACTCACTCTATGCCAGGTATTGTAGGAGACACCAGGGATGCCCTAATTACCAATTAGTCACAGTCTCTGTCATTCTAGCTTGTAGTTTTGATTTAGTTCATTTTCTCTGTTTTCAGGTGTGGGATGTTTTCTGTATAAGCACTATTCAGTGGGTCGCAATCGAAAACATATTAGCTAAAGGGGTACTGAGGTCACTTCTGTTTACAGATGAGGAATCAAGAAAGTGCAGGCTGTAAGCCTCTTTTGTTGCCTCTGCGTCTCGGCCTCCAGCATAATGCCAGGCCCATCAAAGGCAGTCAATATTTGCTGAATTAATAATAAACAAGAGACTTGCCCTACCTACCTCAACTAATGAGGCACATGACCACAGCAGACTCAGTGAGAAAGAATGAATTGACAGGGAAGGGCCACTCAGTGGATGCTCCTGACACCCCTCCAACCTGCCCCTCCTGCAGCCTTCACATCTTGGCAAATACCCTCCTACCCGCTCCCTGAAGGCCTAAGAGCATCCAGTCAGCTTATGAGGCCTGCTGCTTTGACCTTCCAAGCACGGGTATCTTTTCCCACCACCAGCCCCCTTCTCCTTCCTCTTGTCCTTGCCGCTCTTTGTTCTCTCTCCCCAACACCAAGCTTGCTCCTTCCCCCCTGGCATTCATATCTCAGCCCAGGAGCTGTCCCTAACCACCCTGACCCCGTCCCTAGGCCTCTGGCTCTAAGTATCCAGCAGGCACTGGCTCCCATCACCCACTTCACCCTGCATGGCACTCATCGCTCCAGCTTTATCTGCTCACACCTGTCCTCCCCTCCTTCCCCCGACTCCCCACCCATCAGAGGTGAGGGCAGGGCCTGACCTGGCCTGTCTGGGCACCTCTCCCATCCTACTGCACTTACTTCTTATTTGTCTTTGAATCCACAGCTCCTAGAGCAGGGCCTTGTCAAATAGTTCATTGAATACTTAATTATGTAATGCTAACCATACTGGGTATCAGACAATTGGGATCCTTTTCAGCCTTGAACCTGAGTCAGACAAAAGAATTTTGTAAACTCTTACACGATGACTGTGTGGAGATTAAATACTGTTGATACTATTATTACCTAACTCGGCAGCCACTGCAACGCAGTATTGTAGGACTTGTTCTCATCTTTACCCTGGAAACAGTCCCTCCTCCAGGCCCTGGAGATGGCAAAGGACAGGTGGCTAGGAAAGATCCACAGGGCAGAGCCCAGAGTCCCGTTCCATTTAACAGCATCTACCTGGTCTTTCCTGAGTAAAGTCCAGTGCAAAACTCTGAGGACTCAAAGGCCACAAGAAACAAGGACAGCTGCGCAGTAGAAAGTTCTGCAGCAAATGCTGGGGGGCACAGGAGGGAAGGGAGCTCGCCTATGTGAGCCAGGCCTTCCCACTACATAGCTCACTTAAACCTCACAGTTGCACTGTGAGGTAAGTACCAGCTTCCCCACTTTACAGAGGGAGAACATGAAGCTCAGAGAGGTTAACCCTCTCACACCCAAGATTCACAATTAATAAGACACAGAACCTGTATTCCAACTCAGCCCCCAGAGACTCCAGGGCCCGCTGTCTCTGGAACATCCCCGAGCCGCACAAGGCCTCATGCCACCAAAGGACAATGCCAGGCACGTCCCTCCAGTGGATTACAGAGTTTGGGAGGAAAGGAAGGAGCTCCTTCTCCCAATGATTATGTCTGCCACACTCAGCTATGGAAGCAAACACCCCGGGATGCCCCCCCTCCCCGCTGCCACCAACCAGACCTAATCTGGGACACCCACCCAGGGGTTAGAAGAAGCCCTGTCACCCCCAAATGGGACTCAAAAACTTCCCAGGCGGAAACGTTCAGGGTCCTGCAGCTCCTCCACCTACCAGTGGCACCATCGTGACCTCAGCACCACGGACAGCCAAGTCCCAGAATGGAGACCCAGACCCCAGGCAGGCCTGCCGCTCACCCAGCCCCAGGACTCCAGCTCCTGTAGCAGCTGGAAAGGGAGCAAAGAGAAGAGAGCTTTCTGGGAGGCACGAGAGTGAGGCATGAGCCTTGGCAGTCCCCTCCCCTTACTCTTTGCTTTGCAGGCAAGGGGGCGAGTGGACTTCGTATGTGAGCCTTGTGTGCACGGCTCCTGTTTGTGACCCTATGTGGCTGTGTGTGTGCTGAGCACACACACGCAGTGGTGTAACTGGAAGAACAGAGGCTTGTGTTTGTGTATGTGTGTCCATGGTGACCTAAGAGTACACCTGCAGAAGTACCATAGTGGTCTGGTAGGGTTTTGTCTTTGTTTGCTCTGTTAAGGATAACATACATTCAATAAAGCACTCGAATCTAAAGTGTACCCCCCAGTGAATATTAAACATATGTACCCCCATGTAACCAACACTTAGATCAAGGACAACTTGATATATATATATATAAGTTTTCCAACATTCCAGAAGTTTCCATCGTGCTGCTTCCAATAACTGCCCCACTTCCCCAGTGGTAATCACTATTCTGACTTGCATCGCCATAGATTAACTTTACCTTTTAAAATCTATATATATGAAATCATACAGAGCATACTCTTTAGTGTCTACTTTCTTTCCTTCATTATTATGTCTATGAGATTCATCCCCATAGGTCATTGCACTTTAGCACTAGGTTATGTTGGTCTGTTGTTAAAATATACTCCATCATATGAATATACCACAATTTATCTACTCCACCAGTGATGGACATTTGGGTTTTTCCAATTTTTAGCTATTATGAATGCAGTTACTACAAATATTTGTGTACAGATATTTCACTAGACACATGCACTCATTTCTCCTGGCTAATTCCTGGGTCACAGAATCCTAGAATAGCCACATAGTTAGATTTAGCAGATTCAGCTAGGCCGCTTCCCAAAGTATCTGTACTAATTTATACTCCTGACAACAGTGTATAAGAGTTCCAATATTCCACAGCCTCATCAGCACTTAGTATTGTCAGTCTTTTTAATTTTAGCCATTCAGGTGTCTACACAGAGATATCTCATTGTGGTGTCAATTTGCATTTGCCTGATGAGCAATGATACTGAGCATCTTTTGGCACAGATTGGCCATTGAAGTACCCCTTTTGTGAAGTGTCCAAGTTTTTACAGAACTAAGACATCTATAAAAGTAGACAAATAGTTGACCAAAACAGACGGCTGAGCAGAATCATTCTAAGAAACTCAGTAATACAACAACCCAGCAGCCTAACATTTCCACAATTGCTAACTAGTTGTTACAATTAGTAAGCTAGTTGTACCAGGTAATATAGATGCATAACTGAATTTTATATATATGTGTGTGTGTGTGTGTGTAATATATATATACACATATTTTATTATTTGACAGAAAGAGAGACAGTGAAAGAGGGAACACAAGCAGGGGGAGTGGGAGAGGGAGAAGCAGGCTTCCCGCTGAGCAGAGAGCCCAATGTGGGGCTCGATCCCAGGACCCTGGGATCATGACCTGAGCCAAAGGCAGACGCTTAATGACTGAGCCACCCAGGAGCCCCTGAATTTTATATTTTGAGCCAGTGAGATATCACTGAGCCCCCCAACTTAGATTCAGCAGAGAGAAGGGGATGCAAATAAGAACCAAGAGCCTCCCCTGGGTCCTTAGCCCCAGCCTGAGAGGTTCCCTCACTCAACTCACTGACTGTTTTTCCTTCAATTACAGGATCCTGACAGCAATCAACCTCTGAACAGCCTTGGTAAGCTCAGGTCCAGCTCTGCCTTGTCCACCTCAGCCTCCAAGTTTCAACCAGTTACCAAATAGATACTATATCCCTCTTGCATGGCCCTCACCACCACCACCGAGGGCTAAATGCTGTGGAAGATCTCCAACCACCCACCCATTCATCATTCAACAAAAATGTATTAAGCAACTGTAAGGTCCAGGATAATTCTAGAAGTAGGAAGCATGGTCTCCAGGGAAATAAAACCAACAAACCTAAAACCCCAAGAGCAGTGATTCTCCAACTCATTCATTCAGTTACTCACTTTCTTATTCATTCAACAACTCTGAGTGCGCCACATGCCAGGTTCTGGGTTAGACACTGGACTAAAACAGGAAGTAAGAAAGCCAGAGTCCCTGCCCTCACGGAGTTGCCAGTCTGACCACTTCCATGGAACATGCTGGACAAAGGTATTTTCCCTGGTAGACCAGAAAATGATAGTGTTTGCCTGATTTACAGGAGAAGAATAATTTAACAGATAAAGTGTTCCCAAATTTAAGGTTTTGGTTTTTTTCCCCTCCCATTCCATTTTGTTAAACCACTGAGAGCTATTCCTGATGATAGCCTGCTGGATCAGCAAAGCACAAACTAATATGACAGATCCACAAGGAAATAACCAATCCCACTTACTTCAACAATTTCAGGGCCCCACGTTAATAATGATCACAAACAATGTAATCTTCCGCAAGTAAGATGGTGCCTAGTTTATGCTCTGGAATTCGATAGACCAGTAGACCCCTGTGTCCCCAGAGAACACCAGACATCCAAGAGCTCCACCACCTGAGTAAGCCTGAGAACCACCAAACCAGAAAACAAGTTAGATTTGCTACCAATGCCAACATGAAGGGAGCTCGAGGAGCGATCAGTGCCAAGCGATCAGAGATAATAGCGTCACGGGGTCAGGCAAGCTTTGACAAAGTCCCCACAGGAGTAAACTATCACGAAACAGAAGGAAGTAATGAGGGTTTCAGTGGTGAAGGGACGAGCAGGAGCAAAGGTTCAAAGACGGGAATGAAGGCAGGTGCACAAGGACCAGGGCAGAAACTGCCCGTGTGGCACTGAGGACCGGCGAGGATTAGCAGTGGGAAGTCCACGTGGCCCCAAATCCCACTGGCTTTGCAAGTCTGGAGAAGAGTGTGGTCTAGATCCAGAAGTCACGGAGGGTTCTCAGGCAGGGATGTGACAGGATGACAGCAATACGCTGGGAGGCTCTGTCCTGCAGTGGTGGGCAGGACCGGCTGGAGGAAGGAACAGGGGCAGGCAGGGAGGCTCTTCACAAAGCTCATGGTGGCTTTGTCAACTTTACGTATGAAACGTAAACCAAGAAAACCCTACCCTTCCTGATGCTATTCTCCCTGAGGACATCAGGGAGGCAGAGACATGGGGACCTGGACAGGGGAACCCCTCGAGGGGCTCCCAAGAAGTGATGCACCTCTGAGAAAACCAGCCCACCTCACACCCCCAGCGGAAGGTGCTCAATAAATAAATCATGCATGAAGGAGGAATGGACAAAATGTCGCCATGTCCACGGCCACGGGACAGAGGACAGCTCTGTACACTGACTGCTAGAACCTTCAAACCGTACCTGCTAAGATTGAGAAGCTCCCTGGTGCCTGCTCCTGCCCCTGATGGGCAACACCAGCCCACACCCCACAGGCCTGTGCTTTGTGCCTGAGGCTTAAACTCTCCTGAGGAGACGAAACATTTCCTACGCTTTCCCTTTCAACAATGATACCAGCACTTCCTGAGCACCAGTCTATGGCTGGATGCCATTCTCTGCTTTTGAAGAGCTGAGGAAAGCGATCGAGACAGACATATAACCCAGCCCTCATTCAAGCCAGGAAATGAGACCTGTAACAAAGACGGAAAGGAGGTGCTTAAGAGATCAAGCAAAGAGCGATGCATGTATTCACTCGACAAATACCTGCTGAAGCACCTAGGACTCAGCAGTGACAAGAAGACGAAGACGAAGAAGAAGGAAGAAGAAGGAAGAAGAAGGAAGAAGAAGGAAGAAGAAGGAAGAAGGAAGAAGGAAGAAGGAAGAAGAAGAAGAAGAAGAAGAAGAAGAAGAAGAAGAAGAAGAAGAAGAAGAAGAAAGAAGAAGAAGAAAGAAGAAAGAAGAAGAAGAAGAAGAGAAAAATTCCTTATCTTCATAGAGTCTTCATTTCAGGCAGGGATGGGAGGAAATGGAAAATATATATAATATATAAAATACAGAGTATGTTAAGAGCTGATGTTTTTAAAAATGGGGAAAGAGGACAGGAAATACTGGAAGATTATCTTTTAAAAAGGGAGGTCAACAAGGCCTCACAAGGAGGGTGACAGACCAAGCCATGGGGAGGTGAGGGAAAGAAAGCTGACCTATCACCTTCCAGGGACTCAAGGCTGCCAGACTTCCTGCCCTAGCTCGCCCTGGAGAAGTTCCGTGCACCTGCCGCAGCTTATTGCCTGCAAGGAGAGGGGATGCAAGAGGACCTATCTCGGGTACTTCCTGAGAATTTAACTTTTCAAATCCTGGCCCTGGTACCATCTCCTTGGATAACCATATGAAAAAGACAATATAGTTATTATTACCTCTGTTTTAGGCATCTCTAGGCTCCTACCTGGTCTCCCTATCCCCAAACTCTTGTTCCCATCCACCTCCTTCCTGATGAAAGATTCACCTTTCTAAATATGAAGGTGATCACGTCTCTCTACTGCTCAAAGCTTCCCATAGCTCCACACTGCCTTCCCGGTAAAATCCAAATTCCCGGCATGGTGTTCAAGACTCTCCACAGACTGACGCTGCCAGTCCTCCCTCCACAATACGCACTTGCTCACGTTACATCTCAGGCACACGAGGAGCTCACAGTCAACACCCCCAGGCCTCTGCCCAGCTGGTCCAGCCCCACCCCACCCCATCGCCGCCTACAGAGGCCCATTTAAGTGTTTTGGTGGTGTCTGGTGGTACTGACAACTCTGCCCTTGTGTGCTTCCTCCCCCAAACTGGCATCTCCTTAAAGATGAGGACCATTCTAGGGACTCACCATCTGCTGAGTTGAGTTGGAGATGGAGGCCCTTAGGATGTGTTCATTCACAAGCATGTACCAGGGCTCTACGAAGCATGGAATGCGTTGGAGGTCCCTGCCCTCAAGCTTACAGTTTAACCAAAAGATAAGTCAGAGAAGAGGATAAATGACAGTAAAGTAAATGAGTACTTGCCTCTCCCGGGGCAGATGCAGGGCAGACCCGACAGGGTGAAACACTGCAGAATAGGTTAAGTCAAGACAAGGAGAAGACACCATGGTCTGGAGTCTCCTTTGAGGGGCACAGGTGAAAGATGGATAAGCCTGGATAAGCGAAGGGGGGGGGTGACCATGCACTGTTGAAGCTAAGCCCAGTCTGCAGGAATAAAACCGCAGCGCTAAGCAAAACTGTACCCAAAGCATTCTGCGGCTCAGCACCAGGGCCAGAGGGCAGGGAGGCTGTGGGCCTTGGCAGGGGCGGGCTCTAAGTGCTGACTGCAGGCTCTCTCCCTCCGCCTCACAGACATCACCCCCCTGCGCAAACCTCGCACTCCCCTGGAAACCTTCAAAAAGGTTGGCATCCCCATCATCGCAGCACTGCTGAGCCTGGCGACCATCATCATCATGGCTGTCCTCAGTAAGTGGCAGCCCCCCCCCCACCCTCACCCCCTCATTACTGCCCCCACCTCCCCTTCATCCCCCACAGGAAACGGCAGCTGCCACCTCCCCTCCAAGCCCAACCTTACCCTCCACCCTTGCACCCAGCAGCCACAGGCAGGTGAGCTGCAGAAAGCTTTGTGTGACATGCGTCCACCCCCTGCTCTGATGGGAGCCTTCCTCCAAGAGTGAAGGGGGGAGGTGAACGCAGCCCCCACCTACCCCAGAGGATCTCTACCACAGGGAAAGCACAGCTGCACACGGGACAAAGCCACGCAGGCAACCGGCCAGGGCGGCCGCGCCCCTGCCTCCTTAGTCAGGCGCCTGCAGACACTGGAGCAGCCCTACCGGCTGTAAGAGCGGGGAGCCTTTCCACCTGTGAGAGAGGGACACAGATGGGGGGCACACGGGAAGCCACCCAGGCGCGTGCGCACGCACGCACACACACTGCCTGTAGCTCTGTCTTCCTCCCTGCCAGTGCCTGAGACCCAGTGCGCAGGCCACTCAGCGACAAAGAGTGAACTGAATGACCCGCCGTGCCCACCATCCCGGTCTCCACTCCCACTCCTGTGACTGTCCTTGCCTTCCCCTCCCCCACAGTCACAGCAGGCTACTGACGGCACTCTCGGGGTGGGGAGCAGGGCCCAGCGGACCAGGCTAGCAGTCGGGACACCTGGGTGAGGATCTCGGCACAGCCCCTTGCTGTGTGACCTTGAGTAAGTCCTTTGACCTCTCGCAACTTCAGTCTCTGTAAAACATCCTGTCTCTCCCAGAGGGATATAGGAGATAATGCAAAACACCTGGATGAAAATTAGGTCGTGCCCAAGTGTGGGTCACCGGACAGGGTGCAGAGATGTGACCAAGGCCATACACAAAAGCATGTGTTTGCTAACGGGGTAGCACGGGCCCTTGAGGAGCTGCACTTGGAACCATGGTGGCATTTCCCCAGCAACAGCCACCACGCACTCCCAGATCACTGGGCCCAAACCCTCCCCCTCCACTTGAGCATCTAGGCTCAGAGAGGACTGGCAGTTAGAGACAGCTGGGACGGGCCCCCCGGGACCCAGACTGAACGAGTCCCTTTCCATCTGTGGCAATGGAAATGCAGATCCATGACACAAACACCACCCAGATCCCGGAGAGTCCCGCTGCGCTGTGAGATGCGGATTTCTTCCTGACCTTGGCTGGCCCTTGGCCCTGGGTCTGCAGCAGCATAAGCACAGCTGCCGTCCTAAGCCTGTTCTATTTAGGCTAATATGAAGGAGAGCTTGCTTTCTCTGAGCCTGTGCCCTGCCACACTGGAGAGAGGAGAAGGGGCCAAGATTCATCCAGGGCATGCCCGGGCAGGCAGTGGTGCATGATTCAGAAGTGGGCGTCTCCCCATCCCACAAGGTCCTGTATGGCTTCCATGCCGTGGGCCCCCAGGTTCTGCAACCAGAGAAGGTCATTTGAGCCTCCATCCCAGGCAAGGCTCCCCCAACTTTTTGGCTTCTGGGGTCTCAACTGGTGATACTATGTCCTGGCTTTGTCCCAAGAGGCTAGAGTGAGCCTGCCTTACCCTAGCTCCTGACCATGAACCAAACTCTGAAGGTCTAGGAAAGATTCAGCCTGCTTCTTCTCCTGGGCTCCCTCACACCAGGGGCATCCAGGCCAGCAGACCCCATCTCGAAGCCCCTCAGGGAAGGCATGGAGAGGCAGCAAAGAGCTCTGGAGTTAGACAGACCCTGACTGGAATTCTGGCTCTACACATAAGTGCTGTGTGGCCTTGGGAAATAAACCCCAACTCTGTAAATCTCCGTGTCCCCCACTTATAATGTGAGTTCATCATGACCCCAGCCACCTCAGGTTGTTGTCAGGATTACACAAGGCAGTGCATGGGAAGCTCTCAGCAGTGACCAGCGAGGCCACCGTCAGACTTACCACTGTCACTTGCAGGGCTAGCCAGGAGCGACACTGGACAGCAGGAGGGGGCTTCGGGCCAGGGGAGGGTTCAGTTAGGCAGGGGGGTCTCTTCCCACCAGGAGCCTTTAGGAATGTGAAGTATTCATTCGCTGAGGAGTCACAAACTAGACTCAGTCCCGTCAGCCCAAGGCAGCAAAGGAGCAACAGAATTTGAAAGCAGTGGGCCGAAGACAAAACACAACACGCCGCCAAGCCCTTCAGGGATCTCTCAGCCCCAGATCAAAACACCTAGTTCTAGAATAGCACTTGGTGGTTACAAGACACTCACGGCCACCAGCTCACCAAACGTTCTCAACCGCCTCACCCCACTGTACAGATGAGAAAACCGAGGCCCTGGGAGGGGACGTGACGGGTCTAAAGTCACACGAGAGGCGGCAGGGCCAGCGCTCTCGTCTTTGGGCTCCAGGCCCCATGTTGTCTATTCGTTACCAGAGGCACTGTGCTGGCACCGGGAGGATGAGGCCAGTGGGGGCTGTTTCTAAGTTTCTCCTGCACATTCTCTCGCTTGATGCCTCTGCCATCTTGTAGGTATGGGATAGGTGTTACTTTACAGATCAGGAAACTGAGGCTCAGGACCAAGTACCCAGGCTACCAAGTGGCGTCACTGCGTCTGGAGCCCTCATCTGCCTGTCCTGAAGCCCAGCATGTTTTCAGGGAAACACAGCCTCTCCCACCCCCCGGGGGCTGCCTGCTTGACCGTCAGCCCTGTCTGCCCCCTCCCTGCCCCTGCCTTCCAGTCAAGGTGATTCTGGACAAATACTACTTCCTCTGCGGGCAGCCTCTCCACGTCATCCTGAGGAGGCAGGTGTGTGACGGCCAGCAGGACTGTGCCTCCGGGGAGGACGAGCAGCTCTGTGTCAAGACCTTCCCCGATGGGTCCCCAGTGGCAGGTGAGTCTAGGGGCTGGAGGCACTGGGAGAGTTGGCACAGCAGGAAACCAGCTCAGGTCCCCCTTGATCCACTGCACAGCATCTGCCAAATGACTTGTCAGTTTCCATCCCTATTGTAAGGTTCTTAAGAACAACAGGACTAGGGCCCCAGTGCTTACCATGTAGCAAATACTCAGTGAATATGATGAACAAATGCGGACCAGAAGGGACAGGAAATTGTAACATAGCCTGCCCCGTTCTGCTACACCGGGGTGGGACTGAGGCAGGCGGCTGGATTGGATGACCCTGGGGAGTTCCCTCCTTTCTGTGAAATCTGTTCTTTCAAGGGGATAGAAAAGTGAGTGTCAGACCGTCAACCAGCTACTGATCTTTCTATTCATTAGGTGTTTATTGTAGCCTCCTATGTAACAAGACTGAGCTAGGTCCTTCAAAGCAATAGGAGATGTTTCCAACAAAAACTCATCTTCTTTCTTGGCCGGGGCTGGCCCAGCTTCACCCACCTAGTACTTGGGCTCTGGAGAGAAAGGACAGCCCAGGAGATGGGTGTTGGGGGGTTTTGAGGGGCAGGACTAAGTGACTTCTTGCATATATCTTTTTTTTTATCAGTAGTCAAATGCCTATGGGCACCTGCCATCCTACTGCCAAAAGTACCTCCCTCTCAACCTCCTCCCTCTGACCTCACATGGAAAAGGAGCTAGGTTCCTCACTGAGAAGTCCCCCAGGCCAGGCAAGCTGTGTGGACCATGGGTAGAGTCACCATAGATCACCAAAACTGGTATCTCTAAGAATAAAATAGAGAGCTGCTGGTAATTGTGCCAGGACAACAGGTCCACAAGGAGGTTGTTTCCAGGACATCTGGTCACCCTGGCTACCATAAAAATGAAGCTCAGTCAGGCGAAGCCAAATGGAAGAACTTACCCCGAGGTTGAAAGGGTTGGTGTTCTATGATGCTCTAGGGCCTGGGTGTAGGGAGGTTGTGCTGGTCCCATGATGAATTCTGAGGGAGATGGGCCAGACAGGCCCCTGCCCTGCAACTGACCCAGGTTCTCCCCCTCGCAGTCCGCCTCTCCAGGGACCGATCCACCCTGCAGGTGCTGGATCCGGCCACACAGAGCTGGGCCTCTGCCTGCTTCGACAACTTCACAGAAGCTCTGGCCAAGATAGCCTGTGGGCAGATGGGCTATGACAGGTACCTGGCCCCAGCCTCCAGAGGCTGTCCCCTCGTCCCTATGACCTCCTCCCTTCTTCCCCCTTTCCTTCCTCCCTTCCTAAAAATATAAATACTGGAGTCAGACAGAACTGCCCTTGAACCTGAGCACTTTCACATACAAGCAACGTGAAGGTCAATCTCCTAAGCCCCAGTTTCCTCAAGAGTCAATTGGGGCACGCACTGGCAATGTCATAGGACAGTTATCAGGTGCAGCAAGAGAATATAAGCCTCACCACACACCCCCAACACACAGTGCTGGCTCCTCAAGACCCTCACTCTTTCACGGCTCTGCAAGAAGACACCCTGTCCCAGAGTGTAACATTTACTTCTTCAATGTCCCATTGGTTAAAATTCAGCTTAAACAAACCTGATTACATTGGCGCCCCATCAGCAATCCCAGCTCTCTCAGCAAATTTCTAAAACAGCTCCAAATCTTCAGGGGATCAAGAGTTACATAATCGTAAGGGTGATTTGCATGCTGTGTTTATATTCATTTGATCTTGGCAAAAACCACAAAGGTAGTTATTACTGTATCTGTTTTAGAAATAGGTTCAGGGAAGATAAGTCACTTGCTTCGGCAGGAGCTGGGAGGAAGAGGCTTGGGGTCTGTGCCCAAGACCCCTTAATTCCTGGGCATCAGGAGTTCTAGCAATGTCTCTGTTTCTAGCTTGGGTAATTCTCTCCTCCCCCAAGGCTTTCCCTATAAAGGGAGGAGAGGTAAGGCCACCGATCACTCAGAGAGCCTAACCAGAGAGGAGGGAAAATACCCATTTATTCAGCTGCAGAGTGGGGCAGGTTCCCAAGGACTCTCCCTGGCAAGCCCCCAAGGACTCTAAGAAACTGGACATGCAGACACTGTCAATCAATCACAGAACTTTCTCCCATCCACCCCTAAAAAGCAGCCTCCAGGTTCTTTTTCAATAAATGCTCCCAGCAGCATTACTGATCCATCAGACCTTTTGGCCCCCTCTGCTCTCTGGTTATCAGGTCTTTACTGCTCAATACCTGCCGTGGGACGCAACCCTGGACAGGCCACCTCTGCCTCCTTCATTTTTGAGGAGAGGTGGGAAGGCACGCCCTGGCCCTGCTCTTCCTCCCCCCACCCCACCCCCAGCAGCCACCCGGCCGGCCCAGCCTCCCCTGCAGCCAGCCCCTCCCCTCCACGGCAGTCCAGCCACTGCGGCGTCAGGGGTGCCCAGCTCCCAGCTCCACGGGCTGCAGCTGCCTTCCGCAACCAAGGTGTCTCTGGGGCTTCTTAAGGTAATAGGATCCTGGAATTTCTGTCCTTCCGGAGTGCACTAACGTACCAAACCAGCTGGCTTCTTGAGTTCTACAGAATCAAAGCTAGTCAGAGCTTACCTTTCCGGGGACTGTCCGTTTCCACCACTGTCCCTCCTTCCGGGTCTCAAATTTCTCTACTTTCCTTCCTCCACCTAGATAAGAAGCCCTTCTTGTCCCAGGACCATAAAACCCGAGATGGTTCAAGGTGGGAGGGGCTCTGCAGATTATCCGGTCCACCTCTCATTTTACAGAGGGAGAAACTAAGGCTTAAGGAAACCCGGAGAAGGGCGTGACCTGTCAAGGTTACACATCAAGCTAGTGTCAGAGGCAGGACAAGCGCCTCCATCTCCAGGGCTCTGAAACCCAGCACCGCCACACTCACGCCCTTCTAGGTGTACCTGGGTCCACCCGGTGTGCGGGATCCTGGCCCAGAATGTGAGAGCATCAGTGGCCAGTCAGCCAGTGCCTCAGTCAACCTGAGCCCTGCACACAGAGCCAGGACGAGCATGGCTGGATGGGGAAGGACGGGACAATCAGAACAATGGGATGAATCAGGGGAGCCTTCCTGGAGGAGCAAAGACTTAAACCCAAGGTTTGAAAGAAGACAAACATGGATCAGTGGAGAGAAAGAGGGAGGGTGGTCCAAGGGAGAGACTCTCTGGACTCATGTGAAGATTGATCTCGTCCTGTCCTATCTCCAAGGGAGCCATAAATGCACCCCCACTACCCAATTCAGCCCACATGCCTTGTTCAGAAAACCAAATATCCACCTTCCAGTTCCCTGGCTGTGAATCAGAAAAAAAAAAAAAAAATGCTGGGACATTTGAAATAGGGCTACAACTGGGAGTTAAGAAAACATGTCCCTAAAATTTGTCCAGAGCTCTGGGGAAGCAAGAGCATCCACATCAGCATCGTGCCCAGAGCCAAGTCCTAGGACACGTTCTTTCCCACTGCAGCTCCTGGAAGTGGGAACTACTCCCCCCATCTTCTTCTAACGTCCTGCCCTACCTCACATGTCTCTCTCTCTCTCAATCTCTCTCCCCCAACGTGAGCAGCAAACCCACCTTCAGAGCTGTGGAGATCGGCCCAGACCAAGATCTGGATGTTGTTGGAATCACAGAGAACGGCCAGGGGCTTCAGGTGCAAAACCTAAGTGGGTAAGTGAGAGGACACCTCCTGGCCCACAAGAGGCTCACAATGGAGGCTGCCATCAGGGCTGTAGGCAGCTACCCTGAGCAGGTGCAGCAAGGGGAATGTAAGCCAGACCACAAGAAGAACTCCAGGCCATGCAGACTGTCAGATACCAAGAACTAGAGAATCAGATTTCTGAGAGGTTTTCTGGGTTGACTCCCTTTTTTATATAAAACAGACAGCTGGACAAAGTGTGCTGTCCATATGTTGTTGGTGGCCGTGTCATCCAAGAGTAAAACCAAAAATTTTCCTACCGCTTTATGCTCCCGATTAAACCCAATAAGGCAAGATTCCAAAGGCCACTTTGTCCTTCCCAGCCACTCACCCAGGCCAGAGTAAGGCCTCTCCACGTTCCCAGCTCTCCAGAGAAAAGGCCACATGGCCTTTGGCAGCGGTCTGTTCCTCCGCCTCCCCACTGTGCATGAGAGCTCAGCAGCTAGATGAAAATGGTCACACTGCAGCAGAGAGCCCCGAAGAAGATTCTGGCTCCCCAGCATTTGGGGATGCTGCTGAGGCTGCTTATTCACCAAAGAGTAAATCTTAAAAAGGACCAAGATGGTAGCAGAAGGATCGTGTGCCTGTAATTCCACCGAAATCCCACTTTTTGTCCATCTGGAAAGCCCACAGTATAACAGACATTGTTCCAGGCTCAGCTCTCTTCCACTCCAGGCTGCCAAGGTCTTGGGTTGGGCTCTGACGCAGGCAGGGCCCAGCACACAGTGGGTGCTGAACAGCAGGGGCATTGAACCCAAACCAATCGAATCACAATGAACTAAGTGGTCATACCGTTTCTATACAGTCCCCCCAGGACGTGGGTTCCAGATTTCCCAGGTGTTGGGAGGGGGGCTGGGGTCAACAGGGCCAGGGGACCGGAGTCCTTGCCTCCCACAGAAACCACAAGGCCCTGTGTCTCCCTTCCAGACCCTGTCTCTCGGGCTCCCTGGTCTCCCTGCACTGCCTTGGTGAGTATGTCCCATCTCTGAGGGTTTGGGCCGTGGGCCAGCAATGAGCAGGGAGAAAGACCTTCATCCTCATTCTTAAATCTCTCAGACTCTAAGTTTCTCTGTTTTGTCCCAAACTAAACTTCCCTGGGCCTTGGGTCTGTAGGGCAGTGCTCCTTCAAGCGGGGGACATTAAGAACTCTTTAGTACCATCCACACACAACCCCACAACCGAAGCAGAGAGCTGGCAGGGAACAGAAAACTGGGAAGGATAGAACTGGGCCTCCACGCCCTCCCACCCTGGTCAGGCCCGCAAGGCCTCCTCTGTCAAAAGTGTGCTCAGTTATCCAAGACCAGAGCATTCAGTTTAGCAAAAAAACAGTTAGACTGTGTCTAGCACTGTCAGGCACATTAGTGAGAAGTAGAAAATACCAGACAAGTCAAAGAATTGGCCACTCTCCTCGGGAACTTATAACAGAGATAGAGAGCAGCAAGAGAGAGATGCGAGGTCACAGGTGGGAGGTGCCGGACTGAGTAGCGCTCATAGCCAACCTGCCGCAGAGAGACCCAGGCACCAGTCCCACTGGCTTCCAGCATGACCTTGAGTAATTCACCTGACCTTTCTGAGGTTCCTCTTCCCAAGAAGCCCTTTTGTCCAACTGCCCCAGAGGATGCAGCTCTTACAGAGGAGATCAGAAGAGAAGACAAGCTCTGTGACCCAGCTTGTCCTCCCAGCCTTGTGGAAGAACTGACCAGAGCCTGCCACGCTGGCCAGACACTGGACGGGCTGAGTGGAACAAGGCCATCATCACTGCCTTTGCCGTTGGGCAGTACATAGGCTTCCCTGTTGGATGTTAAGACTTCTTGTCATTATCATGTGACGCCCACAATCCCTCGTGTGTGGGGACGGACACACAGTGGCCAGCCAGTGAATGACTGAACCGTCAGTCACACCATCTGCCCTCTGCACTAAATGGCACTGTCCTCACAGAGAGATTGAAGTCACAGACGTTCCCTTGAGGATCTGTCAGTCTTACCGGGAAGACCAAAGCACAAAGGAAATGAAAGGCAGGCCAACACCAGGGGGCAGGCTATGGAAATTCCAGAACAGGGGAAGTCCCCAGGGATCGGGTGGCCCCCAGGGGGTGGTGCCCAGGCTAAACACTGAGCTGTAGGCTCCAAGAAGGGAGAGACCACGTCTGTCCGTCTATCTTGTCCTCTACTCTCTTCCCAGCATCCCTGAACACAGTAGGCACTTAGTACAAATTTGCTGAATGGATCAATGGTTTAGATAAATAGCAAGAGGACAGCATCTCAGGGATGGGAATTTCCTCGAGCATAAGCAGAATGACTTTTTAGGGAGCTAAAAGCAGATCGATTCAGCTAGACGGAGACTTTAGCTAAGGAGAGTGGGTAGCCGCCAGGAGGACTTTAAACTCTACCCTAGAAAGAGAGATGCCCTGGGGCTGCAAGGGAGCGGGCGGTGGGGGGGGTACACAGAGAAGGCAGAGTTTGGAATAAGAGGTGTCTGAAAAGCCCCTGGCTGGCAGAGGCCCAGAAAGGATGGCAGCATTTTCCTGGGAGAACCACCACTGTGGCCATGACCGCCAGGACTGGAGAGGCTGAGGGCAGGGCAGGGAGGTGGGAATGGAGGCTTTTACCAGAGCTTGAGGGTCATGATGGAAAAGCCAAGGACAGTGGCATATGAAAGAGAGCACAGCGTGTCAAACTGGGAGACTCACTCATCACGGGGGAAGGGACTTGGAGAAAGGTGAGTTGAGGATAGGAAGATCCAGTTTCTGGAACCTTCTTCCCACTTCCGGCTCCCAGAGCAGTTTGTGGGCATCTGTTTGCTGATACTCCGCAGCAGTGGCTGGGACACGCCACCTGGGCAGGACTTTTGTAATTCTGCATCACCTGTTTGGTTTGAAGGCCATGAATTCCCAGCACAATGGACACGCCCCTGTTCATAATATAAACACTTCCGAAGCCCAACAAGGAAGGGGGAGACTGGGGGAAAGCCTATAGTCTGGGACACCAGCTCCCTAGGAATAACTCAAAATGGGCCTGGTCCTCCCCACCCCTCCGGGTTCCAGTCATAAGGGCTCTGCTCTTTTTTTTTTTTTTTTTTTTTAAGATTTTATTTTTATTTATTTGAGAGAGAGAGAATGAGAGACAGAGAGCATGAGAGGGAGGAGGGTCAGAGGGAGAAGCAGACTCCCCGCCGAGCAGGGAGCCCGATGCGGGACTCGATCCCGGAACTCCAGGATCATGACCTGAGCCGAAGGCAGTCGCTTAACCAACTGAGCCACCCAGGCGCCCTGTGCTAAACATTTTTTTTTTTTTAAGATTTTATTTTTATTTATTTGAGAGAGAGAGAATGAGAGACAGAGAGCATGAGAGGGAGGAGGGTCAGAGGGAGAAGCAGACTCCCTGCCGAGCGGGGAGCCCGATGCGGGACTCGATCCCGGGACTCCAGGATCATGACCTGAGCCGAAGGCAGTCGCCCAACCGACTGAGCCACCCACGTGTCCCTATTTATTTAGTTTTTTTTTTTTAAGATTTTATTTATTTATTTGAGAGAGAGAATGAGAGAGAGAGACAGAGCACATGAGAGGGAAGAGGGTCAGAGGGAGAAGCAGACTCCCCGCCGAGCGGGGAGCCCGATGCAGGACTCGATCCCGGGACTCCAGGATCATGACCTGAGCCGAAGGCAGTCGCCCAACCGACTGAGCCACCCAGGCGCCCCTAATCAGGGCTCTGTTCTAAGGGGACATACACGGGGCTCCAAGGGGAGGCAATCCCATCCCTCAAGAGCCTGACTCCTGATTTCTCCCTCCTTCCTGTGGACCCCAGCCTGTGGGGAGAGCCTGAAAGCCCCTCGGGTGGTGGGCGGGGAGACGGCCTCTGTGGATTCTTGGCCTTGGCAGGTCAGCATCCAGTACAACAAACAACACATCTGTGGAGGGAGCATTCTGGACGCCCACTGGATCCTCACGGCAGCCCACTGTTTCAGGTAAGGCCTGCACCACAAGGAAGCCTTGGGGGCTCAAAGCCTTAGAGGGGCCTGAGTGTCTGGGTCCCCTGAGACGTCTCCCAGCTTATGCTCCAGTGTCCTCATCCCTCTTTGCCCTCCCTCCACAGACCACGTCCTTGGGTGTGGCCGCCCCAATGAGACACTGGACACGATGTCCTATGATAGGCACCCAGGGTCTGAGCAGAGGGCACTGGTCACCAAGCTTGATCACCAAGCTTGACCTCTTCCAGTCAGGAAGCAATCAGATACCCAGTATCCTCAGTCTGGCCCCTTAGCATGCACTCCACAGAAGCTCTTCCCATCCATCTCCCTGGAGTCTGGAGAATGCTCTCCCTCTGCCAGTCTTCTCCGGAGTGATTCCAGGGTCGAGAGTCACTGCCACTCCCCCATTATAGCAAAAAAACTTTAAACTTAAAAAGCATAAAGCACAGATTCCCTTACAGGCCAGCAGAGAGAGGCCTGCCCATACCTGTGGGGAAGGACTACTCCCAGGCCCTCTTCGCTTTCCTTCTTTCATTCATTCGTTCGTTCGTTCGTTCGTTCGTTCAACATCTAATGAGTACTATATTATGTACCCATATGCATTAGATCTGTCAGCGCCTTAGAGGAACTCACAGTGTAAGCCAGGGATTCTTAACCTTTTTTGAGATCTGACAAAGCTCTAAATCCTTTTCTGGGAAACCACCCATGCACATTAAGCAGGCAGGAGCGTCTGGAGGAGAAAGACAGACAAGTACATAACGTAACTGACAATACGAGTACCACATGAGTAACACAGACAGTAAAAAGTGCTGGGGGGAGAGAGTGCCAGGACCCCAGAGCTCAGGCACTGGGAACAGCCCCTTCCCCAGCCCTCCAGTTAGAAGTTTTCTTGGGCAGGTTTCACTGGGGGAAAGGATGAAATCCTTTTTAGAATTTGGCCTTTCGTAGGGGATTCCTCAGACCTGCTCCTTCTCTACCACCCCTGGCCTCACCATCATTACCTCCTAAAGCAGGGACATTCAGCACCCCAATCCCCAGGGTCCTGGGGACCCAGTTTTTGGCAAAGACCACACATGCTTGGCTCAGGCCTGAACCCCGCTGTCTCTGCCCCCCTAGGAAGTATCATGATGTCTCCACCTGGAAGGTGAGGGCTGGCTCAGACAAACTGGGCAACTTCCCATCCCTGCCTGTGGCCAGCATCTTCATCACTGAGCTCAACACCACGTACCCCAAAGAGAAGGACATTGCCCTCGTGAAGCTGCAGTTCCCACTCACATTCTCCGGTGAGAGGTGGCATCTGGGAACAGACCCCTTAGGTCAGGTTCTAATCCCCTTCTGCCACTAGCTCACTAAGCAGCCTTGGGCACATCACAGCTCCTCTCAAGCCCCCAGCTATGCGTTTCCCGTGAATATACCAGCCTAACATCAGTGAGGGGCCATGAGGCCCCTCTGAGCTGCCGGCTCACAGCCCACCCCACCCCCTGCTGGATTCTTGTGAGGTCTATTTTCTCCATGTGGAGCACCTCAAGTGAGAATCATAGACTCATCCAATCTTGGGGTTGTAAGGGAACTAGAAGATCCTCTAGTCCATCTTCCACCCTCAACCAATGCCAAGAGCCTGCGCAATATCTCGCCAAAGGGTTACTATGCCCACCTGGTCTCCTCCAGGGGCAGAGAGCTCATCACCCTTAAGGCAGCCCATGGAATCTTGGAAGCTCTGTTAGAGGACTCATGTTTGGACAGTATTTACATCAGCATTTCCAACTGTCAGTTCCACAAGACACTGGTCCTTTGGAGAAAAAAAAAAAAGGGAGTTCTATTCTCAAGTAAGTTTGGGAAACATTTTTATAGTAGAGCTCTCTTCTTGGGGCACATTAGTATATAAAGATATGACAAGGCTTTTAATTTTTAATTTGTTTTTATGATGTTTAAACTATATCTCTTCAACTTATTTGACCACAGGATTTTCTTATGCCACTTTTGTTAACATCCCCTGGAACATAGGTCATAGAAACCCTGGTGTCAGCCTTTCCAGAGTGCTTAGCCACCAGGCTCTCCCCTTTCTCTCTGCTCCTGGCAGGCACGGTCAGGCCCATCTGCCTGCCCTTTTTTGATGAGGAGCTCACTCCAGCCACTCCGCTCTGGATTATTGGATGGGGCTTTACAGAGCAGGATGGAGGTAAGTCCTGGGCTCAGGACCACAGGGCTGAGGGAGCAGCTCTTGGAGGTGATGGGAAGGAGGACCATCCCTGAGAAAAATCCATCCTGGAAGTCCAAGCACCAAGGTGTCAGGCAACCCGCAGAATTATCCTGGGGTGGGGGTAGGAGGCAAGAACAGGAATATGAGTATGTTTTCAACTTCCCAGGAAAGATGTCCGACACACTGCTGCAGGCGTCAGTCCAGCTCATTGACCACACTCGGTGCAATGCGGAGGACGCCTACCAGGGGGAAGTTACTGAGCAGATGCTGTGCGCAGGCATCCTGGAGGGCGGCGTGGACACCTGCCAGGTGGGAGCATGAGGGAGTTCCTTAGATAGAGATATTAGTCCCGGAGAGACAATTAAGTCCAAGGGCCGATGACTCCATATGAAGTCTTGCATATGGTGGGCACTCAATGTGTGATGAAGAAAAGAAGGGAGAGAGGGAGGGAAAGAAGGATTACAGTCAGATAAGGATAGAAGGATGAATGGATGGACAGAGACAAGCAGAAAGATTTCAAACGTGTATTTCATCTACAAAAATGGTGTTACCCACCCCACCTGCTCTTACTTCCCATCACGCATAGGAGTAGGAGTCACGTGAGGGCAGGAACGCCAGGTCTGTTTTCTCTAGAACTGCCAAGATGCTTAACTAGACTAGAGAAAACCCATGTCCTGCTGGATGAGCCCTGGAGCAATGCCTGCCCCGCCAACCCCACTGACCAGTCAGTCCCTGAACACATTTTCACTCCCTCCACCCCCAGGATCTTCCAAGCCATTTTCACTAAAGGCCCTAACCTTATTCCTGCCCCCATTCTCAGTCATTAAATCCCTCCACTCAAGAGGTAGCTCTTGGCCATCTCTTGAATGCCAGGTAAATACTGGGTTTGGGGGACAGTGTCTTCTTCCCTTGGGGAGCTCATAGTGGTGCACAAGGGGGGCAATTAGGCTATGGTGTTACTGGGTTCTGAGGGACAAAGTCTCAGGGGCTATAGGAGCTGGGACAGACACCCAAAGTGCACTTCTCACTATCTGACACATTCTGGTCTATTGTGTTGTTTGCTTATTGTCTCTCTCTTTTCCGTGTAACTCTAAGCTCCCCGAAGGCAAGGATCTTTGTTCTTTTCATTGACCAAATCCCAGTTGTCTAGAATGGTACCTGGCATATGACAGGCATCCCATGAGCAGCTAAATAAATTTGGGAAGTACTGGGTTAAACAAAGAGAATCGGGCTTCTCACTGCAGAACCCCTTAGAGCCTTCAGTTTGCTAGTGTGCCCTGTGAATCTGAGAGAAAGCACACCAACAACTTACTTGACCACAAACAGAACCCCTTTGCCCCAAATGGAAGGGCCTTCCAGGCTGCAGGAACAGCATGAGCAGAGGCGGTGAGGGCAGAACAGCACAGAGCAGTGGGGAGGAGTGGGGAGCACAGAGGAACAGATGGGCCAACTCCAGGAGGGGAAGAAAAAGAAGCCCACTCTTCCACCCCACCCCTGCCTGCCCTCCCCAGCAACCCCTGTTCTGGTGTCTCACAGGGTGACAGCGGTGGACCCCTGATGTATCACTCTGACCAGTGGCAAGTGGTGGGTATCGTGAGCTGGGGCCATGGCTGTGGGGGCCCCAGTACCCCAGGAGTATACACCAAGGTCACAGCCTATCTCAACTGGATCTATAGTGTCCGGAAGGTGAGCCCCACTTGTTGTGCCCTCCTTCCCTTCCTCTACCCTAAAGGTACCAAACCATCCTTAGCTTTGACTTAAATGGCTCTATGATGACCCCTTACATACTAAATAATTTTCCCCACCAGTAACAACCTGCGATTCCACCAGGAAGAGCTGAAATTCCTTAGATCTGTGATTCCAAATAAACGCAAATGTCTTAGGGTATAGAACACACCCAGCTTTATCATTCTCTATCCTCTGGCACAGAGTTTCCAGAGAACAGACTCTGTTAAGGAGGAGGGTGGGAAGGCTCAAGATACTTGCCTAGAAAAGAGGGAGGAGCAAAGAGCTTCAGAAAAGGCAGGCTAATTTTGCATACATCACCACCTTGTCCAGTTTCAAATCATCTCTTTCTTCGTCTCTTCTCATAGTTGGAGCCATGATGTTGCCCCCCTTCCATACTGCTGGAAACTGCCTCCCCCTGTCCTGCCCACCTGGGGATCCTAGAAGTCAGACAGAGCAAGAGCCCCCTTGGACACACCTCTCTGCCCACAGCCTCAGCATTTCTTGGCACAGCAAAGGGTCTCCATTCCTGTAAAAGCCCTCAGAGTCCACAGGCACCCGGAAGGACGTCAGCAGCCCCAGCTCCGCCACCCCTCGGGCTCCTGGGGTCCCAAGGAGAAAGACACAGTCCACTGAACAGGCCAGCCTTCCAGCCAAGGTCTCAGAAGGCATTGCCAAGCCAAGAAGGAACTTTCCTACTCTGCGGAATGGAAGCAGACTCTCCGGTGAGAACCCAGATCACCAAGGGCTGGAGTGGAGGGAAGAAGGGGTCTGAGCCAGCCCTTTCCTCCACCCATCCCCAAGCCCACCTGAGCAAGAAACTAATTGTAATGTAAAATGCATTGTCCTACCATTGGCATAACTACTATTACTCACTGTCATGACCATTAGCTCTATGGCCGCCGCTATTAAACAGATGCGTGAAGCCTTCAACCCCGGGCAAGCTGGGCTGCGTGCTACGGGCTGAGCTAGGACTGTTGCATCATATTCTTGTTTTTGCATTTTTTATTAACATATAATGTATTATTTGTTTCAGGGGTACAGGTCTGTGATTCATCAGTCTTGCACAATTCACAGCACTCACCATAGCACATACCCTCCCCAATGTCCGTCACCCAGCCACCCCTTCCCTCCCACCCCCCTCCACTCCAGCAACCCTCAGTTTGTTTCCTGAGATTAAGAGTCTCTTATGGTTTGTCTCCCTCTCTGGTTTTGTCTTGTTTCACTTTTCCCTCCCTTCCCCTATGATCCTCTGTCTTGTTTCTCAAATTCCACATACCAGTGAGATCATATGATAATTGTCTTTCTCTGATTGACTTATTCCGCTTAGCATAATACCCTCTAGTTCCATCCACGTCGTTACAAATGGCAAGATTTCAATTTTTGAGGGCTGCATAATATTCCATTGTATATATATACCACATCTTCTTTATCCATTCATCTATTGATGGACATCTAGGCTCTTTCCATAGTTTGGCTATTGTGGACATTGCTCTACTGCATCATTCTTGAGCCTGGGTATGAAAAGGTCTCGGGGAGACCACTGATTCTCAAACAAGGGAAACGGAGACCCAAAGACAACACCTATGACTGGGGAGGGAGAGGATTTAGGTACTCAAGGCTGACAGTAAACCATGGCTCCCCCAGTGGCTGGAAAGAGATACTGTACCTCTGAGTCCTTACTTCTACCTAGAGAGCCCGATCTGGTTGCTTTCATTCTTTAACAAAAAAAAAAAAAAGAAAAGAAAAGAAACCAGACATATACACCAATGGAACAGAATAGAGAACCCAGATATGGACCCTCAACTCTATGGTCAAATAATCTTTGACAAAGCAAGAAAAAACATGCAGTGAAAAAAAGACAGTCTCTTCAATAAATGGTGCTGGGAAAATTGGACAGCCACATGCAGAAGAATGAAACTCGACCATTCTCTAACACCATTCACAAAGATAAACTCAAAGTGGATGAAAGACTTCAATGTGAGACAGGAATCCATCAAAATCCTAGAGGAGAACATAGGCAGTAACCTCTTTGACATCACCCACAGCAACTTCTTTCAAGATATATCTCCAAAAGCTAGTGAAACAAAAGCAAAAATGAACTTTTGGGACTTCATCAAGATAAAAAGCTTCTGCACGGCAAAGGAAACAGACAACAAAGAGGCAACCCACAGAATGGGAAAAGATATTTGCAAATGACACTACAGATAAAGGGCTGGTATCCAAGATCTATAAAGAACTTCTCAAACTCAACACCCAAAAAACAAATAATCAAGTCAAAAAGTGGGCAGAAGATATGAAAAGTCACTTCTCTGAAGAAGACATACAAATGGCTAACAGACACATGAAAAAATGTTCATCATCATTAGCCATCAGGGAAATTCAAATCAAAACCACACTGAGATACCACCTTACACAAGTTAGAATGGCAAAAATGGACAGGGCAAGAAACAACAAATGTTGGAGAGGTTATGGAGAAAGGGGAACCCTCTTACACTGTTGGTGGGAATGCGAGTTGGTACAGCCACTTTGGAAAACAGTGTGGAGGTTCCTCAAAAATGTAAAAATAGAGCTACCCTATGACCCAGCAATTGCACTACTGGGTATTTACCCCAAAGACACAGATGTAGTGAAAAGAAGGGCCATATGCACCCCAATGTTCATAGCAGCAATGTCCGCAATAGCCAAACTGTGGAAAGGGCCGAGATGCCTTTAACAGACAAACTGATAAAGAAGATGTGGTCCATATATACAATGGAATACTACTCAGCCATCAGAAAGGATGAATACCCAACTTTTGCATCAACATGGATGGACTGGAGGAGATTATGCTAAGTGAAATAAGTTAAGCAGAGAAAGTCAATTATCATATGGTTTCACTTATTTGTGGAACATAAGGAATAGCATGGAGGACATTAGGAGAAGGAAGGGAAAAATGGGGGGGGAATTGGAGGGAGAGATGAACCATGAGAGACTAGGGACACTGAGAAACAAACAGGGTTTTGGGGGGGGGCGGTGGTTAGCCCGGTGATGGGTATTAAGGAGGGCACGTACTGCATAGAGCACTGGGTGTTATATGAAAACAATGGATTGTGGATCACCACATCAAAAACCAATGACGTACTGTATGGTGACTAACATAACATAATAAAGTTAAAAAAAAAAAAAGACATTTATCACCTGCAAAGTCTGAGGTGGTCCCTAAATGGGGTTCTGGGGACATAAGCATAAGTCCTGCACTCAAACGGTCAGAGAATTAAGCCCCATGGACTTCTCTGGCCACTGTATGGGGGCCCGGGTATTCTGAGGACCCTCCTGGTCAGATGTTAGATAAATATACTTGACAATGCTTTACTAGGTTCTCAGGAAATAACAGAAGTCCTCAAAGGCCAAATAAAAACATGAATAAACAAATAAACAAAATAAAACTATGAGAATTGTGAGCTGAAATGAAGAAAGAGATCTGAAAGCAACAAACTAAAAACTTGGGTTGTCAAGACCTTTAGGAAAGTTGAGATCAGAACTAAACCCAGAACCAGTGCTCACCATCAAAGACCGGCCAAGATTTTTAAAAAAGAAAACCCCAGGAGTGGGAATCATCAAAAATAGCAAATTTAGAACCTCAAGGACCTTAGATGTTAGAATTATCAGATTATAAGAAAAACTGATACTGCAGAATATTTCTATGTGCCAGATGCTATTCTAAGTGCTTTGCTGTGTACTGGGTCATTTATGACTCACACAAACCTACGAGATCAGTGCCATTCATATCCCATCCCCATTTTATGGGTAAGAAAACTAAGGCTCAATGAGGCTAAGTATCTTGCCTGAGGTTACATATGGGTAAGGTGAATATAAGCATTGTGACTCCAGTGTTCATGCTATGAACTATCACACTATAGGACCGCCAATAATTTATGAATCTCTAAATAAATTTAAAATGGGTGTTTTTTCCACATTTTAAGATATTTTAAAAATACTTTTAATTTAAAACCCACATAAAATTTACTATCAACCATTTATAAGTATACGGTTCAATGGTATTAAGTACATTCACACTATTGTGCAACCATCACCACCATCCATCTCCAAAGCTGTTTTTCCCTTCCAGAATTCTGTACCCATTAAACATTAACTCCTCATTTCTTCCTCTCTTGAAAAACTGGAAGCCACCTGTCTACCTTCTGTCTCTATGAAGCCTCTGACTATTCTACGTACCTCATGTACGTGGAATTATATAGTATTTGCCTTTTTTGTGCCTGGCTTATTTTACCTAGCATAGGGTCTTCAAGGTTATCCATGGTTGTAGCCTGGGTCAGACTTTCCTTCCTTTTTAAGGCTGAATAATATTCCATTATTTATACCACATTTTGTTTATCCATTCGTCCATCAATGGACATCTGGGTCCCTCCTACCTTTTGGCTATGGTGAATAATGCTGCTGTGAGCATGGGTGTACAAATAGCTCTTAAAGACCCTGCTTTCGATTCTTTGGGGTGTATACCTAGGAGCAGAATTGCTGGATCATATGGTATCTGTTTTTAATTTTTTATTGTTTTCCATAAGGAATGCACCATTTTACATTCCCACCAACAGTGCACAAGGGTTCCAATTTCTCCGTATTCTCACCAATGCTTATTTTCTGTTTAAAAAAATAAGTATTTTAAGGATACCTGGGTGGCTCAGTCATTAGGCATCTCCCTTCGGCTCAGGTCATGATCCCAGGGTCCTGGGATCGAGCCCCGCATCGGGCTCCCTGCTCGGCGGGAAGCCTGCTTCTCCCTCTCCCACTCCGCCTGCTTGTGTTCCCTCTCTCGCTGTGTCTCTCTCTGTCAAATAAATAAATAAAATCTTTAAAAAAAAAAAAAGAAATATGAAGGAAAACCAACATCTAAAGAGATAACAGCTGAGAATGTCTGGAACTCATTAAAGGCATGAACCCTCACATAGAGTATTTGCCACTATGGTGTATACATGCATACAACCAAGGCGGAAACATTCAAATAAATCCTCACCTAGGCACATGATCGTGAATCTTCAGAACACCAAAAATGAACAGAAACTCTTTAAAGCAGCCAGAGAAACAACCCAGACTGCCTACAACACCGTAAAGATACTACAGCGAGGGACGCCTGGGTGCCTCAGTCAACTGAGCATCCAACTCTTGGTTTCGGCTGCAGTCGTGGTCTGGGGGTCATGGGATTGAGCCCGGCGCCAGGCTCCGCACTGAGCGTGGAGCCTGCTTGGGATTCTCTCTCTCCTCTCCCTCTGCCCCTCCACTCGTGCTCTTGTGTGCTCTCTCTCTCTCTCTCTCAAAACAAAAACAAATAAATAAAAACTTCCACAGCAGTAAAGGAACCAGAAGACTATCTTCGTGTGCC